TCAGAGGTGCCAGAGAAGGGGACATGTTTACAGCGTGGCTGCACGGAGAACGGCTACGTGCTGTCACAACTTTCGTGTGCACTTGCGATTCAGATCGGTGGACCCACAAGCAGTGGAGCAGTGGAGTGTTGAAGCAGATCGATTTTCTTTTGGTGGATGAGATAAGGGGCGATACTTTTCATCGCTGGGGAATCTTGCGTCATCTGGAAGGGAAGTCAGACCATCGGGCTTTTCATTGGGTCGTTCACATGTCGTTAAAGGACGCAGCGTCCAAAAAGAAAGCGCCAGTTGAAATTGAATTGGAAGGCCAGGTTAGATGAGACGGGCGCCCCGAAACAGTTTCATGACAAGTTGGATGAATCCACGGCGGCGTGGAGTAGAGGAGTAGACCCAACGCCCATGATAGTGGAGGCCGCTCGCGACACGGGGGAAGGTCATCATAGGGCCACAGGTAAGCGCTCGCACTGAAGAAGTCCCCGGCTCGTTCGAAAGGCGCCGGAAAGAAGCACAAGGGGGCGCAGCGAATTGCAAGAATGGGGTTCCAGCGGAAAGTTGTGCACGGACGAAGCCTCAATGTGTGATGTGTTTGCACTATTCTATGAACAGCTGTATAAAGAATTTGGTGATAGGGAGTATGCGTTGCCAATGGAGACTCCGGCGGATGCAGTGACAGTGGAGGAACTGAGAAGAGCACTGTGAAAATTGAAGGCCGGGAAGACAGGGACAGATGACGGTTTAAATGGTGAAAACGGATCACCCAGGGCTCGTGCAAACCATTGCAGACTTTTCACACACGTTCTACGGGGAAGGATGTTGCCACCAAAAGAGTGGAAACGGATGAGATCTCGCATTCTTTTCAAAGAAAGGGGATCCGACAGTGCCGAAAAATTACCGGCCCATCGCAGTGATACCTGTCATGAGTAAGCTTTCCAGCACGGTCTTGTACAACCGAATTTTGCCGAGCGTCGAGAGGTGTTTGGGGAGAGGGCAGTTCGGATTCAGACCTGGGCGTGGATGTGCAGACGCTGTACACACTATGCGCACGGTGGTATAGAAGTCGCTGAAATGGGGGGAAGAGCTGTGGGCGGCCACGCTGGACGTAGCAGAAGCATTCGGAGTTCACTATTCGTCGTTGTTAAATTCGCTTTTTGATAAAGATATTGATGCTCAGGTGGTCGGTGCACTCCGTTTCTTGCATTTTGATGTGAAAAGATATGTCGCGCTATGGCCTGGCGCAATCAGTCGTGAATGTGTCGTGGAAAGGGGAGTTGAGCAAGGTGTTCCGCTGTCTCCTGTGTTGTTGAATTTGGTTTTGGATGGCGCTCTCCGCGAAGCCAACAGTATCTGGAAGAAGAGAGGATACGGCACGAACGTGGGGCAGGAGGTATGTGGGGAGCGCTTGACTCACATCGAATTTGAAAATGTCCAGACGTTGGTGGCTCGCTCTTGGCTTTCAATGAAATTCATGCTTGTTGTCTTCCGGAGTGCGCTCGGCAGCAAAGGTTTGTCGCTTCACCCGACGAAGTGTCAGCTCCAGACCACCAGGGAAGATTTCCAGAGAGGGACCGTTGTGATTGAGGAGGGCTTCTCTATTGATGTATTGCCGCGCGGAGCGTGTCTAGATTTCTTGGGTACTAAGTTGCCTCTGCAAGACCCGACGGGTAGTGAAATTGCACGCCGCATTGCAACGGGATGGTCGAAAGTCCGGTTTTTGAAGAGGTCGTTGATCACCAAGCATTCCTCATTAAACGCGCGTTTGAGGCTTTTCAACAGCATTGTGTCGGGATCGATTCTGCGGGGGGCTGAGTCATGGACACCCAGAGTGCAGGAATTGAGAAGACCGCGAGCCACGCAAAATGCGATGTTGAAGTGAATTGTTTGCCGCGGGAGAGGAGAGGGGGAATCTTGGGTGGCGTGGGTGCAAAGAGCAAACCGTCAAGCCAGACGGCTCGCTTCCGACGCAGGGGCGAAGGATTGGGCCCGCGAGCAGTTCATGAATATGTGGAAGTGGGCAGGGCACGTTGCGCGCATGCCGGTTACAGAATGGTGTAGTTTAGTGACATGTTGGCGCGCTTCGTCGCGTCAGGCAGCCAATCGCAGATGGTAACGTCCAGAGAGGCCTTCTAAGCGGCCGTGGGTGAAATTTGAGCATGTACTCAGAAGGTTCTGCACGGATGGAGGCCACGAAGAATGGACGCACGAAGCAAATATCGTGAGGCATGACGCGAACTAGCTCCAGCTTTCGCCTCTTGGACGAGCGCGCTGTTATCCAGAGTGCCAGCGGCCTGGCTGCATTTTAGTATCTGTCCTGCTCCACGCGGGCCTTTTCAGACAGGACCCCGTTGCTTCGCTACTTCCTCCTCCTCCTTCTGGCCCGTGCCACGATACCTCCCAGATCTCTTCCCCCCTTCGTCTCCTCTCCAGACGTGCCGTCTGGCCCCCCATCGGCCGCGCACCTGCCTGTGGCCATGGCCTGCGAGCCCCCTCTCTGGATGCCACTCCTGGGAGGTCGCATTCTGACTGTGCTTTGGTCCGAATTCCGGCTTCATCCAGCCGAATCCCGATGAATCCCGCTCAGTCTGGCTCAATCCCATTTCATCCGCCTCTTCATCCGGCGCAGCAGCCCCCCAGCGGGGGGCTTCATCCTTTTCATAGCCCCATCGACCAAGACCCCCCAGCGCTCGCCTCCTAGATTGGACGCCCCCCTCCTCGGGACGCCCCCGGGCCTGCGCCGCCGCCGCGCGCCTCTTTGTCCGAGGCTGGAACTGATACGTGACCACCGCCTGGGGGATCGATTTTCGGGGGCCTCCGCGGGCGGTTGGATGTGGACATACTCGGGCCCCGCGGGGCCCAGCATATAATCCACGTCCGCCGCCCGCTGGGGCACCAGGGCGTGGGCCGCCAGGCGGCGGATATGGATCGGATCGGCCCCCGCCTCGCACTTTGAGGGAGGCCGCGCCCTCCTTTCGCGCGACCGGCCGCGGGCGGGGCCACCGCAGGGCGCGGCCACCGCGTGGCGCCCGCGGGCGCGGCCGCCGATGGGCGCGGAGGATCTGCCAAGGGGGGGGCTTTGCACCGGCCACGCGCAGGGGGCTTGGCATCGCTCGGGCGCGTGCATGATTGTTTCGGCGAGGGCTCCTCGGGGAGCATCCGGGATCATCGAGGAAAGCACGCACGAAACCGACAAGTGCACAAGAAATGGGCGTTCGAACGATGACAATGAGGGGGGTATGGGGGAGAGAGGGGGGGAGCTTCTCAGGAGCACCCCTGCTTTTGGGAAAGGCGCTGGCCTTGTCTGTAGATGTAAAGCTGGCGCCTTCGAAGCAGCAGCCTTCTTCTGAGAAGCCTCTCCCCTTCCCCTTGCCCCTGTGTGCGCGCCGCCAAGATATGCTGAGGGCGCTCTTTGGGAACACAACGGCATCGACACAGATGTTCCACGATCCCCCCATGTTTCTCCACTCGGCGGCGAGCACAGGGGGGGAAGTGAGAGGGAGAAGGCCTTCTCAGAATGCTCGGAAGTGCCCCGGCCTTCTGAGAAGTTTTCTAAGCCTCCCCGAAGACGCCGAGCATTTTTCAGAAGGCGCGAGGTCTTCCGAGAAGCCCCGCCGCTTTCTGAGAGGGCCTTTCCCCTCTCGCTTCCCCCCCCTCGCTCGCCGCCGATCCGCAGTTCCTGGGTGGGCGTGCCTCTCCCCCCTCCGCTTCCCATATGCCTTCGCAGATGCGCGCACGAGGCAAATAGGACCCGCACGCACGCACGCACGCACGCATGTGTGTGTTGTGTGTGTTGTGTGTGTGTGTGTGTTTGTGTGTGTGAATGTGAATGTAAATGTGAATGTGAAGGTGAATGTGAATGTGTGTTTTGTGAATGTGTGTGTGTGTGAATGTGTGTGTGTGTGAATGTGAATGTGTGTGTGAATGTGTGTGTGTGTGTGAATGTGTGTGTGTGTGTGTGAATGTGTGTGTGTGTGTGAATGTGAATGTGAATGTGTGTGTGTGTGTGTGCGTGTGTGTGTGTGTGTGTCTGAGTCGACACGCTGCCCCCCTTGGGAGGAGGCCGCGGCTCGCCTCCCCGTGCCGGCGGGGCCCGTCCGCTCGCACTTCGCCCCCGAGCCCCCCCCGCCGCCGGGCCCGCGCGAGGGCGTGGCGGGCGGGCCCGGGGCGGGGGGCGCGCACCTGTGCCCGCCGCGGAAGGGGCCCACCCGGTCGCAGTTCGCCTCCGAGGATCGGCACGGACGAGGAAGGTCAGAGCAGGAGTTACTCAGCCACCATTTCGGGTGCAGTTCCTGGGAGGTCAAATTCTGACTTTGCCCCGGTCCGAAACCCGTCTTAATCCCGCTTAGTCCGGCTTGATCCCGCTGAATCCGGCTTAATCCGAGACCCGCTCCGAAGTAACAGCCCCCCAATGGAGCTTAATCGTTTTTGATTTTTCCGACGAAAACCTCCCAGTAGTCAGAGCGTGAATTACCTACCCCGCTTTCGCTTCCAGGCAAAGCCAAGTCATGCCACGCGCCTCCTTGTCGAGCGGCCTGACCAGTACAGGCCGCAGTTTGGCATCGCTTGGTATCTCTTGGAACTGGGGGTGGGCAAAAGCGAGGTCGGTTTGTTTGCCCCCTAGAAATGGGTACGGAAAGAATGGGTGCAATGCCCAACAGCAGTTCCTGTTCATTTTGAACCATTTTGAACAGGACTCGCTGTCGGTGTCGCCGCGGCCTCTGTCCATTCAAGACAGAAGGCCGCCTGCCCAACAGCGGCCGCTGTTGGTTTGGGACAACATTTGTTGTTGGGCATTGTGCCCATTCTTTCCGTGAAACGAGGAGGTGCCAGCCACGCTCGGGGCAGGGGTGTCGACCCACGTGTCGGACACCTCCAGCGGCAAGCACTTCTCGGGCGAGGCCTCGTGTGCCTCCTCGGCGCGAGGAGCAGGAGCCGGGAGGAGGCGGTCGGTCGGGTCCGCTCACTCCGCGGAGACCGCCCAGACTCTGTCGAAGGATCTGGCCGCCATGATTCTGGAGTCCCCCTGGTTCGATGCATGTATCGGCGCAGTCATCTTCATCAATGCTATCGCTATTGGCGCAGAGCAGGCTCTTGACCTGAATGGGGCTGACATCACGCCATTTGTAGTATTGGAGCATACCTTCTTGGTCATCTACGTGCTGGAGCTGATCGTTCGTTTCCTGGCCACGTCCGGCAAATGCCTCAGCGACAATTGGGTCAAGTTCGATTTGTTATTTGTCGGCATCGGCGTCATTTGCTTGTGGATAGTGTCCCCGATCGTCGGGGACGTGGATGAACTGGAGTCCTTCTACATGCTGCGACTGCTTCGCCTTCTGCGGCTGGCCCGAGCTGTGCGGCTGATCGCGCTGTTCCGAGATCTTTGGATGCTGGTGCAAGGTATGTTGGTCTCTGCGCAAACAATGGTGTACACGATCGGGCTCATCGCTGCGATTTTGTATTTGTTTGCGGTTGTGTCGATTGAGGTCATCACCAAGAACGATTTAGCGGATCCAGAAAGTGGTGATCCAACATTCCAGAGCGTCGTCGAGAAAAATTTCAAGGACCTGCCGCACGCAATGCTGACGCTGCTGCAGTTCGTTTCATTCGACATCGGGTTGCCTGCGGCAAACCCCGCCCGCCGTGGCAGCGCAGCCGCGCTGCAGGAAGGGGGGTGAGTTTTCATACCCGTCGCTGTTCACAGCCCCGTGAACTGGCGTGGGCCCTGATGACACCCTCGTTGTCCCTCAGACTCGTTCTACTTCTCTTTCACCTTCTCCTTCTCCGTCTCCTCCTCGCCTTCCTCCTTCTCCCCTTCCATGTTGAAGGCATCATGCAGACATCTTTGGGGCTCCTCGGGCACTCTCCTGGGGCTCTAGGGGGGCCCGTTCGGGGCCCGCTGGGGCCTCGGGACAGTTACAGCCGTGATGATTCTACCGGACTGTCTCGAAGAGTGTCGGTTAAACATGGTTGAACCATCGTGGGGACTTCTGCTCGGGTCTTGGGGCCCTCTTCGAACCTCCGTGGGCAACTTTGGGGTACTCGGGCATTGCTGGGACCGTCTTGGAGCCCTAGCTCGGACCGTTTTCGATTGTTGCTTTGGGTCACGTGATGACTTCCCGAGGCGATCTCAAGCCAAAAAGCTTCGGAAGCAAGGAGCAGTAGTTCTTCATAGTTGTGTGGTCTGTCCCTGCAGATCTCGCCAGTTGCTTTTTGGGGCATCTCTTACATGCGTAGGGACATATGGAAGCCTTGAGGATATCACTGGGACCTCTAGGGCAGATCTTCGGGCATACTTGGCTCCAACAAAAGTTTCCTTGGAAACTCGCAAGAGGAATAATATGTATGTAAACCCGTCGGCAAGATGAAAAGTCGCGCGCGCGTGCTCAGCGTTCGCACGCACGCGATCCCAAGACGTCCCATGGCCACAACATGCTTCCAGGAATGCCTCAGGCCACGGACGATAACGTCCAGAGGACCCAGGATGATGCCACCCCAACGCGATCCCGCCTTGGATTCTGGACCGTCTCAGGCCGACTCGCAGATGACGAAACACATGAGCAACGCGTGACGCCGAGATGGCCCGATGGCAACAAGATGGATCCAAGCGCACCCAGGGTGGCCTCATAATGACCACGCGATGGTTGCGTGATCCAAACATGACCGGGGTATGATCTCAAGATGACCTCAAGACGACCCCAACACGGCAATCATACTGCAACTTATGAGCCCAATCTTACTTCGAGTCGATCCCAGCATGGTGGGATCCGTGAACGGCCCAGGATTTTGGTCTACCCCATTTTTGATGGGTGGGATTTTGATCGTCCTGAACTAAATTTATAATATTAAAGCGGAATAAGCCAGGCGGGATCCCGCCCGGCCCACGGAGGAAGACAACATTGCTAGGCTTCTACGGGGGTACGGGGTTCGGAACGGGCGTCGTTTACTTCCGCTGACATTGGCAAGCCTTCCGGCGGCCTTCCCCCGTCATCCGCCTCATTTTATTTCCGTCGACTTCCGCCGGCCAGCGTCGTGATGAAAATTCCAGGAACTTTCATTGGGCCGATGTATCCTTGGCCTGTATTGGGCTTGCCTCGGGGCCATTTGAGGCCGAAAGAGCGCCAGGGAGCAAGATCATGCGGGGTTTCTTTGGGTTGGGGGCCTTCAGGTTTTGTTATGCGACGTACACAACCCATCGGCACCAAGGGATGATATAAGGTGTGCCGACAATAGTGTGACAGCAAAGCTACAAGAGACGGTGCACGGCGGAAATCTATATCGTGCAAAGTGTGCGTGGCCGATTCGCAGGTGAGGGGTACAATAGGCCAGGGGGCAATGCATTGGGAAGGAGAAGCAAACGGAAGACATCGAAGTGGAAGAACGATTACCTCGGCAGAAACAGCGAGATGATGGCTAGGTCTTTTTGAGATCTGCGTGGGGCCCCGCTGTGCTGGCCCGCCAATCAGCCCTCACAAATTGGGGACAGCTTCACACTTCGCAGCCCCCCATGGATGGCGAGGTCCCGTTTGGATCTGCGTATGGCCCAATTGTGTCGCCCGCCCAGCAACCCTCGAAAGTGGCGACAGTTTCACACTTCGCAGCCCTCACTGGATGGCGAGGTCCCGTTTGAATCTGCGTGGCACTCCTCTCTGTTGACCCCCCCAGCAGCCCTCGAACGCGGCGACAGTTTCACATTTCGCAGCTCCCCAAGGAGTGACGAGGTCCCGGTTGGATCTGCGTGTGGTCCCATTGTGTTGGCTCCCCCATCAGCCCTCGAACGTGGCGACGGTGTCACACTCCGCAGCCCCCCCGGAGATGGCGAGGCCCCGTTCGGGTTTGCGCGTAGCCCCACTGTTCGGGCTCCCCGAGCATCCATCGAACGTGGTGAGAAAGTCACACTGCGCAGCCCCCCAGGGATGACGAGGAGGTCCCGTTTGGGCCTGCGTGTGGCCCCGTTGTGCGGGCTCCCCGAGCATCCATCGAACGTGGCGAGAATGTCACACTTCGCAGCCCCCAGGGATGGCGAGGTTCTAATCGGGTCTGCGTCAGGCCCCATCGCGCGGGCTCCCCCGGCAGCACTCGAAAGTGGCGACAGTCTCCCACCTCGCTGCCCACCAGGGATGACGATGTCCCGTTTGGGTCTGCTTGGAGCCCATGTGCGCGGGCGCCCCCTAGCAGCCCTCGAGAGTGGCGACGGTTTCACACTTCGCAGCCCCCCAAGAGGGATGCGAGAGGAGAGAGCCCAGAGGAGAGCAGGGGGGCGGCTAGGAGGAGGAGGAGGAGGAGGAGGAGGAGGAGAAGGAGGAGGAGGAGGAGGATTTGGAGACCACACTGCTCTATTCAGAACGAGAGCCCAACCAAGGGAATGTTGAGGATCAAATACTGACTTCCGTAAACTTTCCCTGCGGCGCACCCAACCCATCGGCACCAAGGGATGATACAAGGCGTGTCGACAATAGCGTGACAGCAAAACTGCACGAGACAGTGCACGGCGGATATCGATATCGTGCAAATGGTGCGTTGCCGACTCGAAAGCAGCGACAGTTTCACACCTTGCCCCCCCCCCCGTAGCTCTCGAAAGTGGCGACAGCCTGGCTCACACTTCGCAGTCCCCCCCCTCAGGATGGCGAGGTCCCGTTTGGATCTGCGTTTGCCCCCCCACCCCCCGCCCCTGGTGTTGTCTCCCCTAGCAGCCCTCGAAAGTGCCAACAGCTTCACACTTCGCAGCCCATCCAGGGATGGCGAGGCCCCGTTTGGGTCTGCGTGGTGCCTCACTGTGATGGCTCCCCCAGCAGCCTTTCGAAAGTGGCGACAGTTTCACACTTCGCAGTCCACCCCAGGGATGGCGAGGTCCCGTTTGGATCTGCGTGGGGGCCCACTGCGCTGCCTCCCCCAGCAACCCTCGAATGGGCGCTAGTTTCACACTTCGCAGCCCCCCAAGGATGGCGAGGTCCCGTATGTTTTAGTGCTGGCTCCCCCAGCAGCCTTCGAAAGTGGCGACCGTTTCACATGGCGCAGCCCCCCAGGGATGGTGAGGTCCCGTTCGGGTTTGCGTGGGTTCCCACTGCCTTCGAAAGTGGCGACAGTTTCACACTTCGCAGCGCCTCCCCAGGGTTGGCGAGGTTTCTTCGGGATCTGCGTTGGTTCCCACTGTGTTAGCCCCCCCAGCTGCCTTCGAAACATTGGCAACAGCTTCACACTTTCACCCCCCCAGGGATGGCGAGGTCCCGTTTGGATCTGCGTGGGGCCCCAGTGTGCTGCCCCCTCAGCAGCCCTCAAAGCGGCGACAGTTTCACACTTCACAGCCCTCTTTCAGGGATGGCGAGGCCCCGTTTGGGTCTGCGTGGGGTCCCACTGCGTTGGCTCCTCCAGCAGCCCTCGAAAGTGGTGACATCTTCACACTTCGCAGCTGCCCCCAGGGATGGCGAGGTCCCGTTTGGATTTGTGTGGGGGCCCACTGCGCTGGCTCCCTGGCAGCCTTCGAAAGTGGCGACAGTTTCGCACTTCTTAGCCCCCAGGGATGGCGAGGTTCAGTTTTGGGTTTGCGTGGGGCCCTACCGTGCTGGCTCCCCCAGCTGCCTTCGAAAGTGGCGACAGCTTCACACTTCGCAGCCCCCCCAGGGATGGCGAGGTTCCGTTTGGGTTTGCCTCTGGCCCATTGTGCGCCCCCCCCCCCCCAGCAGCCTTCGAGACTGGGGACCGTTTCACTCTTTGCATCCCCCCCGGGGATGGCAAGCTCGCGTTGGGGCCTGCGTGGGGCCCCCGTATGATGCTTGTCAGCAGCCTTCAGCCGTGGCGACAGTTTCGCACCTCGCAGTCCCCCCAAGGGATGACGAGGTCTCGTTTGGATCGGGGTGGGGCCGCACTGTGCCGGCTCCCCCGGCAGCACTCGAACGTAACGACAGCTTCACAATTCGCGGCACTCCGGGGATGGCGAGGTCCCGTCTGGGTCCGCGTGGGGCCACCAGCCGTCGAAACATTGGGTACAGTTTCACACTTCGCAGCCCCCCAGGGATGGAAAGGTGCCGTTTGGGTAGTAATGCGTGGGGCCCCACTGTGCTGGCTCCCGCAGCAGCCCTCGAAAGTGGCGACAGCTTCACACTTCGCAGCCCTCCAGGGATGGCGAGGTTCAGTTTTGGGTTTGCGTGGGGCCCCACTGTGCTGGCTCTCCCAGCTGCCTTCAAAAGTGGCGACAGATTCACACTTCGCGGCCCCCCATGGATGGCGAGGTTCAGTTTTGGGTTTGCGTGGGGCCCCACTGTGCTGGCTGCCCCAGCAGCCCTCGAATGGGCAGACAGTTTCGCATTTCGTGGCCCCCCTGGGATGGCTAGGTCCTGATTTGGTCTGCGTGGGCCCCCCCATTGTGACGACTCCCACAGCAGCCCTCGAAAGTGGCGACAGTTTCACACTTCGCAGCCCCCTCCCAGGGATGGCGAGGTTCCGTTTGGATCTGCGTGGGGCCTTCGAAAGGAGGACAGTTTCACACCTCACAGCCCTTTTCCAGGGATGGCGAGGTCCCGTTTGGATCTGCGTGGGGTCACACTGCGTTGGCTCCCCCAGCAGCCCTCGAAAGTGGTGACATCTTCACACTTCGCAGCCGCCCCCCAGGGATGGCGAGGCCCCGTTTGGGTCCACGTGGGGCCCCATTGTGCTGGCTCCGCGGGCAGCTCTCGAAAGCGGAGACAGTTTCACACTTCGCAGCCCCCCGGGGGTGGCGAGGCCCCAGTGTGCTGGCTCCCCCAGCAGCCCTCGAAAGTGGCGACGGTTTCGCACTTCGCAGCCCCCCCAGGGATGGCGAGGTCCCGTTCGGATTCGCCTGGGGCCCCACTGCGCTGGCTCCTCCAGCAGCCCTCGAACGTGGCGACCGTTCCCACGTCGCAGTCTCAGGGATGGCGAGGCACCCTTTGGGTCCGCCTGGGGCTCCACTGCTGGCTCCCCCGGCAGGTCGCGGCCCCTGAAGGATGGCGAGGTCCCGTTTGGGTCTGCGTGGGGCCCCAGTGTGCTGGCTCCCCCTGCAGCCTTCGAAAGTGGCGACGGTTTCACACTTCGCCTCCCCCAGGGATGGCGAGGTTCCGTTTCGATTGGGGCATCATTGTGTTGGCTCCCCCAGCAACCCTCGGACGTGGCGTCAGTTTCACACTTCGCAGCCCCCCAGGGATGGCGAGGTCTTGTTTGGGTCCGCCTGGGGCTCCGCTGTTCGGGCCCCCCCAACAGTCCTCGAGCGTGGCGACCTTTCCACACTTCGCAGCCCCCCCGGAGATGGCGAGGCCCCGTTTGGGTTTGCGTGGGGCACCACTGTGCTGGCTCCCCATAGCAGCCTTTGAACGCGGCGATCGTCTCCACACTTCGCAGCCCCCAAGAGGGATGCGAGAGGAGATCGCCGAGAAAAGAGCGGGGGGGAACATGGAGACACCACTGCTCTATTCGAAACGAGAACCCAACCAAGGGAGGGTTGGGAATCACTCCTTCTCCTCCTCCTCCTCCTCCCCCTCCTCCTACTCCTCCTCCTCCTCCTCCTCCTCCTCCCCCTCCTCCCCCTCCTCCTCCTCCTCCTCCTCCTCCTCCTCCTCCTCCTCCTCCTCCTCCTCCTCCTCCTCCCCTCCCCCCTTCTCCTCCTCCTCCTCCTCCTCCTCCTCTCTCCTCCTCCTCCTCCTCCCTCTCCTCCTCCCCTCCTCCTCCTCCTCCTCCTCCTCCTCCTCCTCCTCCTCCTCCTCCTCCTCCTCCTCCTCCTCCTCCTCCTCCCCCTACTCCCCCCTCCTCCTCCACCAGAAACGTAATGGTTCTGAATTCTGCAGAAACGTATACGCACAGGACCAGCGTCTTGGGCGTTTTGGCATAACCACGGGAACCTCTGGCGGGGCAACACACAGCACGCGGGATGTATTGCTTCATCTGTTTCAGAGGACTCGAGGGGCAACCTCAATTCTGCACCAGTAGGAACAGCAGACATTGGAAACGGACCAACAAGAACGCCAAGGTAGGTTGTTCAGAGGGCCCGATGGGCAACCTCAGCCCTGAGCAACAACGCAGCGGTAGCGAGGGGAATAGCTCAGATCGGACAGCGCCTGCGTGGTCAACACTGCCTCGACGCCCCAGACCGCTCCTCGGGAGCGGCGGGCAACGCTCCTCGGGAGTGGGGGGCCACGAAACTGCGACAGCTTCACGTGGATGGCTGCACCCCGCGCGACCTGCGAGTTAACCAAACCGTGAAGGGTAGGAGTTGATTTCCAGCTGAAGAGCTGAGGAGGAGGATGATATGGAAATAGACGGAGGTGAAAGGAGGAAGTGTACCATCCGAGACTGATCGCCCCCACCCCGGGGTGTGGGGGGTGTCTAGGTCTAGTTTGAACATGCCGTTGGCGCCCACCATGATGCCCCCCCCAGAAGCCTCGAAAACGGCGGCAGTTCATACTTCGGAGCCCCTCCCCAAGATGTCGCGGTCTAATCTGAACATACCGCTGGCACCCACCGTGCTGGCTCCCCCCCCAGGCAGCCCTCAAACGTGGCGACGGTTTCGCACATCGCAGACCCCCGGGAAAGCTGAGGTCTAGTTGGAACCGGCCGTCTGCACCCACCGTGTTGTCTCCCCCACGGCAGCCCTCACCGGAAGCGACAGTTTTTCCGAGATCGCAGCCCCCCATCCCTCACGAGGAGCGGCGAGGTCAAGTTTTGAATATGCCGTGGGCACCCACCATGGCGCCCTTCCTCCACCCCCCCACGCAACCCTCGAAAGTGGCGACAGCCTCGCATTTCGCAGCCCGCTCCAGGGATGTCGAGGTGCAATTTGAATCTGCCGTCGGCACCCACGATACTGTCCCCCCGAGCAGACTTCGAAAATGGCGGCAGTTTCGCAGATCGCAGCCCCCCAGGAGCGTGGAGGTCTAATAAGAGTTTGCCGTCGGCACCCAAGATGTTGCTCTCCCAGCAGCCCTTGAAAGTGGCGACAGTTTCGCAGAACCCGCCCAGATATGTCGAGGTCTAATTTGGATCTGCCGTCGGTAACCACTATTCTGGCCCCCAGCAGCCCTCGAAAGTGGCGACGTCGCAACCCCCAAGGGGTGTCGAAGTCTAATTCGAATCTACCGTTGGCACCCACTATGCTGTTGTCCCCCCCAGCAGCCTTCGAACGTGGCGACAGTTCCACACGTCGCAGCCCCTACCAGGGATGCCGAGGTCTAATTTGAATTTGCCGTCAGCACCCATTGTATGGCCCCCACAGCAACTCTCGAAGGTTGCGACGGTGTCACACTGCGTAGCCCCCCTAAGGATGTAGAGGCCTAATGTGAATCTGTCGCCGGCACCCGCGATGCTGGCCACCCCCTGCAGCCCTCGAACGCAGTGACAGTTTCGCAGATCGCAGGCCCCAGCGGTGTCGAGGTCTAGTTTCACTCTGCCGTCGGCACTCTCCTATGCTGTCCCCCCAGCAGCCCTCGAACGTGGCGACGGTGTCACACTTCGCAGCCCCCCTCCCAGGGATGGCGAGGTGCCGTCTGGATTTGCGTAGGACACCACTGTGCTAACACCCCCAGCAACCCTCGAAAGTGGTGACAGTGTCACACGTCGCGGCCCCCAAGAGGGATGCAAACAGGCAGGTGCAGGCAGGCGAGAGGGGGACAGAGGGCGAGAGGAGGAGAAAGAGAAGGGAGTTGGCACCCCACTACTTCCCTCAAAATGCGAACCCAACCACAGGAGGGCTGGAAAAAATAACAGAAACCTCACCTCGCGACGAATAAGCATTCTACTACTCCACGATCGTGCAGTCGCGGTGGCGGAATGTGGTTGTCATCTACGAGCCTTTGATCAAGCGCGATTGGAGGCTTGCGATCTTCTTCATCAGCATCATTGTGATCGTCGGCATACTTCTCATGAATCGGAATGGCTGCGCCCACTGCCGCAGGCCCTGCAATCTAAGCAATACTGGGGCCATCTAGAGGTACTCTTGGAGCCGTGTTGGCCAATCTCGAGGTATCTTCGGGATCTGCTGGAGCTTCAAGGGCCCGTCTTGCCACCGCTGAGGGCCGCTCTAGGGCGTTGTGAAAGTATCATGCGGCATTTGACATCTTCGGCGGCCTGGGGTATTGCTGGGGAAATGTTTGGGTTATTGGGAACGTCTTGTAGCCCGATGTCAACATCCTCTGAGCAAGGCAGGCGACAAGCGCAAAACATTGGAAGAGCCAAATTGTTTGAATGATTGTTTGCCCCCGAGGGCGGGGGTCTCTGGGCAGGCCCTCTTTGTGGATAATTGAAGCCCTCTTGGGTTGACATTTGGGGCATATTTGAGCCATCGTCGGCAGTCTTGGCATATTGAGTTTCTATTGGGGGCATGGGGGCCATCTTTTCCGTCTGGTGGCACCGCTCCCCGAATACCGGTGGCACCAGCCAGGAGGCCGAAAGCACCCCCGGGCTGGCTGTGACTACGCCGTGGGCTCCCCATCAGACGGCAAGGATGTGGCAGGAGTGCAACAGAATGCGCAGACAGGGCTTGCACTACGGGTCTTCAGTTCGGTTGGGAGAAATTGGCTGTGCTTTTCTGGTGTCCCTCTTCTTGCCCTTGCTTGCCGTGTGCGTGCTGGTAGTCCCAGGCGCGGCCCGCGGGCTACCAGAGCGCGGTGCGCGGTCGCCCTCGCGACTGACCGAGAGCGATGTCCTGGCTTTCGGCATGGCTGGCTCGGCGACCTGTGGCGCAGTCTGGGCGATGCAGTCTATGCAGTGCGAGCCATCTGGCGCAATGTACTTGTGCCTCCACAGACGCCAGCCAGTGCACGGCGAGGCCCCCACGAGGCGCCAACGGGCGCGCTCCGACGAAACCCCAGAAGACCCAGCCAGCACACTCTGCGCCCACCAAGCGTGCACGGGCGGACGCCGGCGACCAGGAAAGCCTTGCCATGGCATTGCTTCATGGTTATTGCCAATTGCCTTTATGGCATTGTCCCGGGCACGGCGCTTAGCGGCAAGATTCGCAGGACAGCGCATGTTCATCGATTGGTAGCGTTTCATCCCCATCGGTCCGTTTTTGCAGCGTATATCCATATGTACATCTGCACATACATATATATATATATATATGTGTATGTACGTTCACCAGCGTGGAGCCTAGTCCGTGAGTGATTGCACTGCTCAGGTAGAAGTCATGCGGTGCAAGCTCTGTGGTACAAATTGTGTCGTGTAAGCTATTCGGTGTAAGCTATGAGGTTAAAAGCTATAACATACCTTCCTTTTGCCGACCCATGAATTGTCAACTCCACTGCTCGCGCAATCATGACACCTTCCCACCCGCAACTTGTTTTGCGAAACCCATGCGTCGCGATTGCGATGACAGCTTGGCCCTGGCTCGCGCGTAGAGTTCCCAACTGATGCGGCGGATGTGGCTGCGATGACGCCTACCGATGGCAACTTTCCAGCGCGTCTCAAACGCCGCGTTGGCGCGCGGGCACTTCATGCGGGTCGGTGGTTCGGGCGAGCGCGGCATCATGATGACGTCGGCAAGGGCGGCAGAAATGATGACAGTGGCGATGTCCCTGGCGATGGTGGCGATGACGAAAGAACCGCCGATGACAGCGCCGATGCTCGTCACGGCGATGACAATGATGACGTCCATGTGTCTGTGATGCGGATGTCTGGATGATGGTGGCGGCAATAGCGACGATTGTCGATGCCGGCGACGCGATGTCGCGGCGCTGGGCAGGGTCGTGGTGAAGACGCGCGCGAGCGGAGAACTTCAAGAACCCAGGCAAATTATTTGTTGTTAGATATGTGGTTGTTCCGTGCGTGTTTGAAGAGATGCAGGATGGAATGCTTCGAACACCCGTGGTTGTTGAAGGGTTTCGACACGCTCGTGTGTCTGCCCGCTCGTATAGCCTGCATTGTATCATTTGATACGAATTCGTGGACTGGGCGCATGCTGCATCAACGCGGATGCACTGCGTGGTGGAATGAGGATGCAAGCAAACAGGTTGCAATATTTGGCACGGACAATGTGAGGGGCACTCGCATGTTTTATCATTTGGTGTTTGCGCACCCTGTGTTTTTGGTGTGATGTCGACATGTGCGTGCGCGTGTTGGCTTCGTACCATGCTTGCGTAAGGGATTCTTGAAGCATGCGTAGTTTCGATTGGCGGGCGCGCGCATCGATTATTTAACAGGGATGAATGGGATGCCCCGCTTTCCTGGGATGGTAAGGGCATGTATGGAAAGCGATCGGCGGGCCAGGATAATATGTAACGTGCAGTGTCCCATGGGGGTGTCGATAATTCCCGGGGGGTGGCGTTTGTTCTTATATTGAACAATAATACAGATCGTGCAAGCTATGGCGTGCAATGTGTGTGGTGTAAGCCTGAGGTGAAAGCTATGCGGTGCAAGTTCTGTGGTGTAACATGTGCATTTTAGCCTATGCGGTGTAAGCTGTGTGATGATGTAGGGTGTGCCGTGTCAGCTAAGAGGTGCAAGCTGTGTGGTGTAAGCTCTGCGCACGAGGCGCCCCTGAGGCGGCACGAGGCAGCACCGTGGCGTGACATCGACGGGCCCACTCAGCGCACAGGGCGGCCATGAGCGCCCACGAGGCCGCACGGGCGGCAACGTGGCGCAACTTCGGCAGAGCCACCCAACGCACAGGGCGCCCACGAGCGCCCACGAGGCGGCACGGGCGGCAACGCGTCGAACTTTTTGGCGCCCCCCCCCCCCCCCGCGCACGAGCGCCCACGAGCGCCCACGAGGCGGCACGGGGCCGCCACCTTCAACATCGTCGGCGGCCCCGTCCAATGTCTTCAGTAGTGGACTGAGTGCAAGCATTGTCGGGAGAATACATGCGTTGACACCTGCGCCACGTCGGATGCAGTTGGATACATACATGCTCTTCTCAAACAAAGGAGCTACTGCCTCCCCCCGGGGTTATCCGTACCCCCTGGGGCATCGCAGTGTACTGACCTGTCGACCTCAACGCTCGTTTTCCATGCGAAATCCGAAATCACACCATGCCAGTCCAGCCAGTGTCGAACCCCCCATCCTCGTCATATATATATATATATACACTGCAATGCGCGCAGGGTCGTTTATCTCAGAAGATCATGGCGCAAGAACTTTTTACAACAATATTTACAAACGGAGGACCCAACCATACACAGTTGTGACTACCGCGTGATGGGCACCGCTGTCGGTGGAGTTCCCTTGTGGAACCACGAAATGCGAGAAACATACGCTGAAATGTGCGGGGGACCGCATGTTGACCCCCCCACTGGGGCCTTCGGTGGAGCTCCCCATGGGGCCACGAGACGTGTGAGGGGTGTGCCGACATGGTTGGGGAACCACATGTGGACCTTGGCATTGGGGCCTTCGGTGGAGCGCGTTATGGGGCCAAGAATCGTATGGGGTGTCCCGAAATTGGTGGGGAACCGCATGTGGACCCTGCCACTGGTACCTTTGGTGGAGCTCCCTGTGGGACCATGAAACGTGTGAGGGGTGTGCCGACATGGTTGGGGAACCACATGTGGACCTTGGCACTGGGGCCTTCGGTGGAGCGCGTTATGGGGCCACGAAGCATGTAAGGAGTGTGCCGAAATGGGTGGGGATCCGCATGTGGACCCTGTCGCTGGGGCCTCTGATGGAGCTCCCAAATGTGGCCCCGAAACGTGTGAGGTGTATGCCGAAATGGGTAGGGATCCGCATGTGGACCCTGCCACTGGTGCCTTTGGTGGAGTCCCCCAATTGGACATCGAAGTCCGAGGGTGGATGCATTGCGGTACATTGGTACATCGTGTGTTACTTTTCCTTCCTCGCTCTCCTCCTCTTTCTCTCCCTCTTCCGTGGGCTCGTCGAGCCTCTTTGTTGGTCGCCTTGCCCAGTCTCGGCTGCGACCGCTTAGATTGCCACCGCTATGTCTGAGTGACGGTGCACACTGTTTTTTTTCCGACAGGCAGTGCACATGTCTCCGGGTATGTTCATTATGCTTGAACTTTCCGAATGTATGCTTCTCCCGCACGTTCCAAGATGCATGTCTTACGCGCCGTTTGTGGAGGCTATCGCTGGGATGTCCGCCTTCCTAGTATCCCCCAAAAAAGCAGCCACCACCAACATGCATCAATAACAGGTGCCCCGAACATACATCAAAGCATACTTCGAGAGCATGCGCCCTTACCCGACACTAGTGGCAGTAACACTTACGACATACGAGAGGCATACACCTAGCATAGGCACCAGCAGCATGCATCAAGCACATACATCAATTACACAAGAGCTATACATTCACGCACAGACAAGTACGATCACATCGGGAACCAACAATCACCTTACATGTATACACAGGTACACGATTTTGCAATTATAGGGCCAGAGCCGTGGCCAATCTGTTACGTCGCTAGTCCACCTGCATCACAGATTTCCATAGTAAGCATCAGCATTATACATCGTGAAAGTGACTCAACACCATACATCAGTCCAACACATGAACCAATACTGCTAGACATAGAAGGCCGACATCCAGGACAGACAATCAGCGCATACATTTTGATGTGTTGGCACACCTTGGTTGGGATCGCTCGAAACACTCTAACATATATCGTCAGCTGAGCGGGATATCTATAATTATATACGGGGACGCTATTCTACATCATCAGTGTGACAGCCTCAGGCAACTACTGCACAGCATGGTGCCCCCTAGAAGGGCTGTTGGGCCTTGTCACCGCCGTTGTGGTCAACAGCGCGCTCGAGCAGGCCATGGCAGACAAGGAGATGGCGCAAAAGCAGGAGGATGACAAGAAGAGGAAAACGGTCAAGCAGCTTCGCAAGCTCTTCATCCGGCTTGACGAGGACGCCTCTGGACAGGTCACTATGGAGGAGATCGGGGGGATCGCCGAGGAGGACAAGCAGATGCTCTCCACGATGTTGGGAGTGTCAGACCCGCTGGAGTTGTTCCGCGCTCTTGACACGGACGGCTCGGGTGAGGTCGACATCGAAGAGTTTTGCAATGGGATTTGGCAGGTTTGCATATCGAAGACCCCGATCGAGATCAAGCGGGTGGAGAAGATGGTTGAAGCGATGCGACACCAGCTGCGCGTGTCAGAGAGCGTTATGGCTGAAATGGTCAAGGACTTGGGCAAACTGAAAGTCCAGGTCGATGAGAAGGTCGGGCATCTGAGCTCGAGCCAGCTCGTGGCCGTATCAGAGGATCCGAAGGCGGGCGGCCTCGGCTGCGCCGACGGCAGGCGGACGGAGGAGAAGCTGGCGGAGAAGCCTTCGATCTCGAAGTCGGCCTCGAGAGGCTCGAACGGCAGCTTCCCCTGGGACCAGGCCTCGCAGACGACAGCTGCAAACCACCGGCCCTGGCCGGGGCCGTCCTGGGCCAAGGGCTGGCGCACACGTCCTCCTGGCCTCGGCCAGGCAGGTCTGCACGCCATCCCAGGGCCCAGGATGGCCCTGGCCAGGGAAAGCTGTGGCGCACAGATGCCCTGCGCGGCAGGCGTCCTCGATGTCGCAGGTCCGCGCAGATCGCGACGGCCAGCTCGCGAGCGGCATCCAGTCGTGCGTCCGCGAGGCCGTGGGCGCGGCGCTCCGAGACCTCTGGCCCGGCGGCGCATTCCCAGCCGCGGCCCACGGCGGCTTCGGCGCGCAGGTGGCCCAGGACTCGAAGACGAATGGAGATAGCACAGACTGTCCGAGGCCCGCGCCGGCTTCTCGTCGGCGCTGCATCCCCCCCCTTCCTGGGGCGCGGGCCGCGCCGGGGGCCGAGCCCGGGGCGCTGCCGAGGGGGCCCAGCGGCAACCCCAGAAGTCCGCGCGGACCCCCGAAGGCTGTTTTACAGGCGGCCCGGGTGAGCAGGTCGACCCTGCCAGATCAAGGGCACCCTCGTGTCCTGTGCCCTGCGACCCATGCCTCCTGCATTTCTGAGGCAGCGTGGCCCTCTGAAGGGTCTTGCGTCCTCTGGCGTGTCCTCTCCGATCAAGTCCGACTGTATCGTTCTGTCGGTGTCTGTTCCTTCTAGAGGACGTGAGGCCGGACTGCGCGCGGACGACTGGCGAGGTCGTGCGGCTAGAACGGGTGTGGCTACGCTGGGGCGCGGTTTGCTGTCTGCCTCGTTGGGGCCTGGGGGGGCACCATGGTGCCCTCGTCGGGCCTCGGGGCGCGGCCGAGAGCTCCGTCGAGGTCCTCGCCCGCCCCCCGGGGCAGCGCGCTGCAGGCCGCACCCTTCTGCAAGCCACACCCCTCGGAGTCGCCGAGAGGTGCCCCCCTGGGGCCCAGGTAACGCCCCGGCCCCCCGCTGGGCCGAGGAGCTCACCCTGGAGCTCCGGTTCCTGCGCGAGGCCGGGCTCGGCGCCGCGCAGGGCGCCGCGCGGAAGGCCGCGCGCGGCGCCGCGCGGGACGGGGAGGCCCACGACGACGGCCCGCCAGCGGAGGCCCAGGGCCTCGCCACCGCGGAGCTCGTGCGCTCGCTGGCGAAGGCGCCTCGCCCCTCGAGCAGGGACCGCCCCGCCCCGCCCCTGGAGGCGGGCCCGCAGGCGCCCGGGCGTTGCACGAGGTGCCCCTGGCCCAAGGTGCCCCCCGGGGTCTCCAGGGAGGCCCCCACGGCCTCCAGAGGGCCCCCCCCGGGGCCCTTGGGGTCCCCAGAGCGGAGCGAACGGCGGGGGGCGCCTTGGGCCAGGGGCACCGTCCCAGCCCCCCGACGTCACGACGGTTGCATGGTCTCGAGCCAGTTCCGGGGCCGGGCTTTTCACCCTGAGTCGTTTTTTACGGCTCTGGTGCCCGGCGAGGGCCCTCATGGGGCAGAAAATAGTAGAACATCTTCCGTCATGATTTCTGTTTCATGGCCCGAGGGGGTCAGGCCTCCCAGACGGGGTCAGAGCAGATGGGGTCGGAGGACCGAGCCGCATCGTCGATGCATCGCCGGTGCGGCTCGATGTGGGGCCTGAGTTGCTTCACGCCGACGTCGCCGATGCATCGCCGACGTCGACGATGCGTCGCCGGTGCATCACGGATGCATCACCGATGCATCGCCGATGTATCGGCAATGCACATCAAAAGTCGGAGGTCCGCACGGATGCCTTGGATCTCCGCGCTGGGCCCCCCTCCCTGGCGCGCGGGGCGCCGCCAGGGGGCCCCGGCGCCGATGCGAGAAATCCGCGCGGACCTCCGTGGGAAAAAACACACTTTGGGAAAAGACACACACACACACACACGTGGGACAAAACACACACACAGTGTGTGTGTGTGTGTGTGTTTGTTAGTTTGTTTGTTCCCCCCCCACCACGTGTATGTTTGTTCCCACAGTGTGTGTGTGTTTTTCCCCCACGTGTGTGTGTGTGTGTTTTTGTGTGTGTGTGCGTGTGTGTGTGTGTGTGTGTGTGTGCGTGTGTTGTGTGTGTGTCGTTTTCCCCCCACGTGTGCGTGTTTTTGTTGTGTGTTCTGTGTATTCTGTGTGTGTGTTTGTTATGTTCATGCCATTCGTCGTTCCCCCTTATCTCGGCAGCCCCCGGACAGGCCGCCGTCGCCGAGGAGAGAGGCCCGAGCACCGCCCGCCCCGCCGCGGGCAGCCCGGGCGCACGGCGGCGCGGGGCGCCCGCCCCGGAGGCCGCGCCGCGGCGTGCGGCGCCGGGGGGCGGCGCGGCGCCCGCCGGCGAGGCCCGGCGGCGCGCGCCCGGGAGGGTCTGAGGAGATGCCGTGGCCCCTCCCCCAGAGGCGGAGGAAACGACACACACACACTGTGGGAAAACACACACACACACACACACACTGTGGGACAAACACACACACAACACACACACACACAACACACACACACACAACACACACACACACACACAACACACACACAACACACACAACACACAAAACACACACAGTGTGTTGGGAAAAAACACGCAGTGTGTGTTTTTGTTGTCCCACAGTGTGTTTTTGTTGTTTCCCACAGTGTGTTTTCCCATGGGAGAAACACAGTGTTGGGGACAAAAAGCACACAGTGTTTTTTTCCCACAGGGCGTTTTTTCCCCACAGTGTTGGAAACAAAAAACACAGTGTGTTCCCACTGTGTGTGTTTTTGTGTGTGTGTTTTCCCACAGTGTTTTTTTGTTTCCACAGTGTGTGTTTTTTTTTCCCCACTGTGTGTTTTTCCCTTTCGATCGACCTCCTACCCTGGCACGTCGATTAAGGAATTGGCCATCTTCGGTTCGCGAGAGGGCGTCGCGGCCGTCACTTTTGCGGGGCCAGGTCCGTCGGTTTCGGTCCTAGGCTGTTTTCACTAAGGGGAGGTTTGTTAAAGAGAGGCTTGTCCACCCCCGACAGAGATCCCATGGCGCCAGCATCGCAGAGCGGATTTCGCTCGGAACACACTAGGATGGGCCCATGAGTATCCTCGAGAACTTCGCTCTGGATGTCGAAGTGAACTGCGTGCGGATTTTTTTGGGAGCCAGGAGCGAAGACTACCAAATATCAACGTGAGATTCACGTCGTTGTTCGCTCGCCATTTCGGGGTCTTGCATTGGCTGCAGCACGTCTGCAAGGTCGGTGCAGTGAGAGATCCCATGGCCCCTCCCCAGAGATCCGACGTTCCAACAAAATTGTAGCCGGCGGTTTTCGGTTGTTCTCGGCTTCAGGGGCCCTCGCAGGGCCTCGGGACCGTCAAACAACGACTCAGGACGAAAAAGCGGTCATGGGGAAGTGGTCCAGACCTCCAGGGCCCACGCGTCGAAGAAAATTTGAGCAGCCGGATGTCTGGGTCCACCCGATCGCCCCTCCGCCCTTTCTTGGCGGCGTGCAAAAGGGGCAGGGTGAGGGTGAAAGGCTTTTTCAGAAGGAGGCGGCTTCTTGGAAGAAGGCGCTGGTCCTGCAGCTATAGACCAGGCCCGCGGCGCCTTTGATACGCTTGTGCTTCCAAGAAGCCTTCCCCTTTCCCCCCAACCCCCTCTGCGTGTGGCTGACTCTCACGCGCCGGCCATTGCCGCCTGGCTCAGCAGCGGATCCATCCTTTGACGATCGGGCGACGGTGGCCATGGCCAAGACGTCACGGGATCTTTTGCCGAGGGCGATCTGGGCCATGGTCCATGTCGGCCGTCGCCGATTCTCGAGGACGGTCCAAGCATGGATGCTGACCAAGATCGACGCGGACCAGGATCGGCACGACGTTTCCGCGTTCACCCGGGGTCATGGACCCCGCTGTCTTCCCCTCCACTCCACGGGGGCTACAAAATACATCACAAGGACTTTTGGCATTACGTTGCAGTCGAGTGCTTGAGCAGTCTTGATCGGCTTGTAGGTCTGGAGGGGTATTTCTCGGTTCTCTGGAAGGTCAGGGATCCGAGGCTCCGCGACAATGGGAGCGGCCAGGTTTGGGCTATGTTCGGGCCCTGCAGGGGGCCCCAGACGGGCCCCCCGGACCGTCAGAGACCGAGCCGGGATGCAAAACCGGCCCTTGGGGGAAGTGAGTTGTCCAGTCGTCCCGGGGGCCCACGCATCAGGAAAGCTGGAGCACCAGATGCCTGGGCACCTGGGGGGACGGGGGGTGGCCGGCGCGGCGAGGTGGGGCGGCCTTCCGAGGAGGCGTGGGGGGGATCGGACGGAGCTATAGGACGAGGGCAACTCCGTCCCACAGCGCTCCGGACTGCTCTCCGAGCGTCCCGGAACGCTCTGAGAAGGCCGCGGCGCCCGAGACGTCCTCCAGAGCCGCTGGATCTCCGAGCCTCTCGGTTCGTCCTCGCCCGAACGTGTTCTCGCCCTGGCTTCGTCTTGGGGGCGGGGTCCTGCAGAAGGGCCTGGGAGGCCTCCGGGGAGAGCGGCTCCTCGGAAGCCGGGAGGGCTCCCGAGGACCCCCCCACGTCGCCGAGCCCCCTTGGCACGTCGCCCCTCCCCGCCCTCGCGGCATGCCGCCCCGCCTCGGGACCGACCCGCCCCTGGAGGCGGCCCCTCAGGCGCCCAGGTGCTGCAAGCATCCAGCAGTGGCGAAGCGTCCCGGCTCGCCTGCAGGCCCACCAAAGGATGCTCTAAGAACCTTTTGTGGTCTGCACGAGCTGATCTTCGAACAATTCTGGGTGGGACTGTTTTGCTTTAACTTATCGGGTGTATGTTCTAAGGGCAATGATGGTTGTTCTTAGAACACCTCTGGGTTCTGAGAACATGTCGTGGTAGGCCTACAGGAATGCCGGGACGGCCGGTCGCGGCGTAAAAGAAGTGCCCAAGGTGCCCCCAGGACTTCCAGAGAGGCCCCCACGGCCTCCAGAGAGCCCCCTCGAGGCCCAGAGGGCCCCGACGGGGGCTTCAAAGTGGAGCGACAAGCTTGGGGCATCTCGGGCCAGGGGGCACCTTCCCAGACCCTGGCGTCACGATTCTTGTCATAAGGTCGTCCCTCAGAGGTCTCGACCCACTTCCTGGGACCTTGCCGAGGCATCCTCGGACACTTTCGAGGGGGAGGGGGAGGGGGAGGAACAGGAGGGGGGGGAGGAGGAGGAGGGTGAGGAGGGGGAGGAGGAGGAGGAGGAGGAGGAGGAGGAGGAGGAGGAGGAGGTCCGAAGTAACAGGAAAAAGCTCCCGTCGCGGTCTTTGTATGTCATGGCCCGAGGGGGTCTGGGCCGGCGCCCCCCCGGCCCAGAGGTGCACCCATCTCCAAAAAGGATCGCACCGTCTGTGTATCCATCACCATGGGGGCCCAACCAGAAGTGCATCCCTCCCTCCCAGACCCCCTCGAGTCATGAAGAAATCATGACGGCAGGTTTTTCACTATTTTCGGCATCTGGGGGCCCTTACTGGCCCTCAGGACCATCAAAAGACGACTCAGGAGAAAACAAAAATGGTCCCGGGGAATGGGTCCAGACCGCTGGGGATCGACGTTATGAAAACATCATGACGTCGCGGGTCTGGGCTATAGGGACCATATTAGATGTGCCACCCTTGGGTGCGCGCCGCCGCGAGGCCGCGGCCAGCTCCTCAAGGAGGACCGGGCCGCCGCAGGGGCGCCCGCCCGCGCGGCGGTCGCCTGGGGCCCTGCCCAGGGGCGCCGCGGCGCCC